CACACTTACTAACATTAGATGACTTTCTTCCTAAAGTGAAAGGAGCTACAATACTCTGACCTGAATGACTTGAGTCAATTGTATTCTGGCAAATTCCTTTAGCCAAAGAAAGTGATTTGCTGACTACATTCATCCCATCCTGTGGGAGATTTTGCTTTTTAAAGGTTGCCTTTTGGGATTACGAGTGTGCCTGAAATTTTCTCACTTACTAACATTAGATGACTTTCTTCCTAAAGTGAAAGGAGCTACAATACTCTGACCTGAATGACTTGAGTCAATTGTATTCTGGCAAATTCCTTTAGCCAAAGAAAGTGATTTGCTGACTACATTCATCCCATCCTGTGGGAGATTTTGCTTTTTAAAGGTTGCCTTTTGGGATTACGAGTGTGCCTGAAATTTTCTAAAGGAACGTGTTAAAAATATTAATGAACACAGATAGAATTACAGTTTCATTGCAATATTTTGATATATGGGTCTTCATTGAAGTTTTTCTTGTGTACTTCCATTGACATTCTAAGCCTGAGCACTCAAAACTCACCCAATGAAGTGGGTTTTTTCCAGAAAAATTCAAGATTCTATATATTTTTGTCCATTTTCTAAGGTGCCACAAGACTCTTCATTTTTTAGCCTAAAAAAATCAATCCAGATGTAAGCACCGCATATTCAGATGTATTCAGGCTGCGGGGAGCATAGCAATATCATGCATCAAGTACTTAATTTTTTAAAAATCATGGGGATTTTAAAATATATGTTGTTTGTTTTATTTGCCTTCTGTTTTTTGAAACTTCAGGGTGCACTGGAGTCTTATTTTCAAGTTTTTCCTCTTTATCAACGGCTAAAAACTTACTTAGAGAGAAAAATCTGAACTTCTCACACAATTGCATAATACCAGAAACTGTGCCTTCTGGAAAACCACCACATTTCCTAGGATTCACAATAAAATCTCAAGAGTGGGCAATAAAGCACAGAGACAACAGCAACTTAGTTGAGGGTCTCCAAATTAGATTTTGGTTTGTTTTAAAGGGGAGTATAGGAAAATTATAAAACCATTGATAGGTGAGGAGAGATGTTGGATTAAAAACAAATCAATTGCTAATCTGTTCGGGGAAAGTTGTGTTTTAATTTAAACATTCTCCTCCGTGTTAATGGTCTTATATAAATGAGGTTGCCTGTGATAGCAGGGGACTTGCATTGATGATCATGGAAATCTCTTCCGGTCCTGTGTGCTTACACCCAGTCACAGGAGCCTTGCACTTGTGAGTAAAAAGAGCCAAAAAGTTCAACAGGGTAGGAACAAAAGGAATTCTAAAGCACCAGTACCATTTCCTTCTCCACGCTCAGCGAAAAAGCAAATGAAGAGCATCAATAAGAGGACATACATTTGGTTTTTTAAAACTATTTTGGTCACAGAAGTCCACAATGAGAAAGCGGCAAAAGAAAAGGGAGGATTTTGACTCCATCACTCTGCTTTGGGTGGTGGAGCGTGGAAGGAAATCAACAGCACTTTAATCAGACTTTGGATGCAATCCAGGTTTGTGGTGATTATTATTAAAGAGGATGGTAACACTGCCAGGGAGTGAGGCCCCAAACCTCAAAGATATTTAGGGGCCTGGCGCTGAATGATTAACTCTGCTTGGCAGGACTCCAGCCTGTAAGAAGCAACCTGGATTTCCTCCTCCACAGCCAACCCCACACAGGCTGTTAAGGGCAGGGACCTAATTCTACTGTAATCAGCATAAATCTTCCCTCACTGCAGCATCTCATTCTATAGCTGACCTGTTGGGATGGGATGGCTGGCCCTTTAAGGGAAGTCGGGTTCTGGCTCACCTGTAATATGGCAACTATACCTCTTGCTGATTCTGGATGAGTGAAATAATGAGTTACTGGACACCACTGCCAAAGGGTCAGGAAGGCCTAGAAGTAGGGCCCAACCAAATTCATGGCCATGAAAAAACACATCCTAGACCATGAAATCTGGCTTTGTGTGTGTTTACACTATTACTGTACAATACAGCTTACATGGGGGAGACCAGCATTCCTATGACATTGAAATTGACAAAAATGGACCATGAATTTGGTATGGTCCTACCTATAAGGAGTGAAACCCAGGATCGAGAAGGAATGAAACCTGCGTTCTCTCTCTGGGCAGCAGACAGTCTGGGAAAGCCAAGTTGTAGTCCCTCCTGTTCACTAGCCCAGTGTGAGGTTATTCAACATAGAGGAAGCCTTGTGACTTTTTACACAACTTTGAGAGAGTAGGCCTGAGATGCCTATGTGTGCTCTGCATTGTGTATCTGTGTGTGCACACCTCAGCCCAGCTTCGCTCAGATAAATTGTTATAAGAAACACACAGGATCTTTTTTCATGGGAAAAGGCAATCTGCTGTTTACTGAAAGTATGACATGAAAAGCAGCATATGCATTCACACGCACACAGAGGTCCTGCAGATAGTATAGGTACCAGTCTGTTGTGGCTCAATCAGTCTTACTGGCCAGGCAAGATTGACTGAGTGAGGAGTTAGGGTTCCTCAATCACGTTTCAAGGCTCCTCCGAGGCTTGGCTTGCAGGACAGAACCCAGAATCAAATGGCAAGAAAACCACGTTTTATACATGTCAGTTCCCATTGAAATCTATGGGTTTTGCAGTGTCATGCTGCAATCATTCACCCTTAAAAGGTGTTAATCTCAGGGCTTTCCCACAGTTTTCTTTTGATGGCTATTGTCAGGCTTCCCATCCTTATCTCTTGTTTGTGTCTCACTCTTGGGGGTCTGCCTGTCTCCAAGGCTCATCTGTTCAGCTAATTCATTCAGCCCCAGGCACCTTCCATGTTCTCTTGTCATCTCCCCGTCTCTCAAGTCTTGTTGACCATCTGGACCTTTCTGATGACTTTCTCACACATTCTGCACTCACACCAAACAATTTCCAGAACATTCCAGACAAAGGATTACATCGTGCGGCAGACCGAAGGCAGGAGTTTGATGGAGGGCAGGTGCATGGGTCGTTGGGTGAGTGGGTTCTTGTTCCCTGAATAAGCTGCCAGAGACTGCTCAGACACCAATCCAGGCAGACACCTGAGACTCGTTAAGAGGCACCGGCCTGCAGCAGCCACCTAATAGGACACCTGCAGCCAGTTAAGGCCTGCTGGTCCACTATAAAAGGCTTCCCCTTAGGTAAGGCAGGGGAAGGAGAAGAGGGATGGACTGGAGAGGAGGAAGTGCAGAGTGAAGGCGAACTATAGGCTGCAAGCAGGAGGGGTTCCCCCCAAAATGCCTGGGAGAAGGTTCTGTGGGAGCGGCTGGGGAAGTGGCCCAGAGAGAGGCTGCTACTCTGTGGGGATAAAGGCAAGAGTCCACTAGTGGCTGCTACCTAGAGTTCTGGGCTGGAACCCGTGCTAAGTGGGCAGGACCGGGTTCCCTCCAGCCCTCCCCAGACCCAGTGGGCTGCCACCAGTAAAAACTTGACTTTGGGACCACAGAAGGGTTTTCCCCTCCAAACGTGTGACTTGCCCATGATGAAAATGGCTTGTTAGCCGGGGACCCTCACCTCTAAAAGAAACAAGAGGGAGGGTCACCATGAGCCGCTGAAGCATATTAAAAATCTGCCAGGAAGCACAGGCCCCAGGGGGCCCAGTTAGACAGAAGCCCAGGGGGGCAAGCAAGGGGGCCTGGAGATTCAGTCCTGGGCTGTTCGTAACAGAGGAACTGGAGTGGAAGCCAGAGGAGAGGGAAGGCCTGGATTTCCTTCCCTCTACCAGCCACTGGAAAGGGTGGTATGAAGTCCATGGACACCAGGGATGGAAGGACTAAGGAGTCTGGACTTGATCAAAGATCAATGTGAAGCTATTGGACTTGTTTTGGTTTCTCTTACTCCAGAAGGAGAGCAACTAAAAATGACCTGGCCAGAGGGCTGAGCTGCAAGAGGAAGCAGATGACTGCAGGGCTGGAGCAGCTGTCATCGGGGCATGAAGGAGATGTCATTGGGGGAGAAGGAGATGTCAGCTATGAGGCAACATGCCAGCAGTGAGTCCACTTTGACACCTGTCCTCCACTATGGATCTCTTTTCGTGAACACGTACTGCTCCTGGTGCAGGGAACAGCAATAAGCACATAAGAAAGGAAGCAAGTTTTGCACAAAATATGTTTGTCAAAGTAATTTCTCTCATCTACTACTAGGACTGTCTTAATTGCTTTTTTGAAGTCCTTCACTAGCTCCTCATTATTATGTATACTAAGTTCAAACCCTTTTTGCCCATGCATTCATGATGTTACTTTGACTTGCAGTTTCTTGATAGTCCATTAGGGCGTGTCTACATAGTAGGGTTTAATTTGAAATAAGCTACGCAAATTGAGCTACATCAGTTGCGTAACTTATTTCAAAATTGGGCAAATCTACACAGCACTTATTTCGAAATAGAGTGCTCTTCCTTTGACTTCCCTTACTCTTTGTACAATGAGGGTCATAGGAGTCAGAGTAAGAAATCCTCCAGCTTGACAGTATTTCGACATTATTTTGAAATAACTAGCATTATTTTGAAATAACTAGCATTATTTTGAAATAACTTAGTCCATGTCTACACAGCAGGCAGTTATTTCAAAATAATGCTAATTATTTCAAAATAATGTTGCTGTGTAGACATACACTTAGAGATCTCTGTGTGCTGGTATAGCGTTCTAGATAGTCTGTGGTCCCTAGCAAACAAAGGAGACAAAGCTGGAGCTCAAGTTGTGTGGAAGTCTGTTTGTAGATATAATCAGTTTCCTTAATAAATGTCTCCTCTTTAAGATGGGGAGATGATTCCACGTATCAAAATAGCATTCAAGACTATACACTCCTTCACGCCTTTGAATATTTCTCATCCTGATTTTCTCTTCACCTTTCATCTCTTCTGCTTTGCTAATTAGATATTACTAACCTCTATTTAATCTGTTTTTCTTAATATCCTTCTTAACGCCATGATTTTTACTCTTCACTTGTGTCTACAATAAAAAAAAATTAAGAGGAATAAAACTATATTTTTGTAGCTGAAACTACTGCTGTTTGTTGTCCTGAATCTCTTCACCATTTCTGATGAGTTGAATCTGGCATATTGATTTCTCTAGTTCCTTTTGCCAACGTGTCTCTTCTTAATAGGCAATGACTCATCTGCTGTGCACAGTGGAATTGTTTACATGAGCAGGTTGGGGGAAATCAAAGAATCCATGTTAAAGTTGAGAATTATAGAGCATTGCAGTTCTTGCATCACTCTAAGTATCGTGAGAATCATAGAATCATAAAATACTAAGACTGGAAGGGACCTCGAGAGGTCATCGATTCCAGCCCCCCGCCCTCACGGCAAGATCAAGTACTGTCTAGACCATCCCTGATAGACATTTATCTAACCTACTCTTAAATATCTCCAGAGATGGAGATTCCACAACCTCCCTGGGCAATTTATTCCAGTGTTTGACCACCCTGACAATTAGGAACTTTTTCCTAATGTCCAACCTAAACCTCCCTTGCTGTACTTTAAGCCCATTGCTTCTTGTTCTATCCTCAGAGGCCAAGATGAACAAGTTTTCTTCCTCCTCCTTATGACACCCTTTTAGATACCTGAAAATGGCTATCATGTCCCCCCTCAATCTTCTCTTTTCCAAACTAAACAAGCCCAATTCTTTCAGCCTTCCTTCATAAGTCGTGTTCTCTAGACCTTTAATCATTCTTGTTGCTCTTCTCTGGACCCTCTCCAATTTCTCCACATCTTTCTTGAAATGCAGTGCCAGACCTAGACACAATCCTCCAGTTGAGGCCTAACCAGCGCAGAGTAGAGCGGAAGAATGACTTCTCTTGTCTTGCTCACAACACACCTGTTAATGCATCGCAGAATCATGTTTGCTTTTTCTGCAACAGCATCACACTGCTGACTCATATTCAGCAATTGAAATACGATTGAAAGATTGAAATAATTTTTTCTTCCATTCACTGTCCTACGGGCAGTGCTTTTTTTGTGATGGTACTGCCTGGTATGCAGTAAGAGCTTACCTGGTAAGAACGGAACATACTGGCACCACTGTACGCAAATGTCTGACAGTTGGCTGGGCTGCATGTTTTAAAGGGGCCGTGTCTCTTAAAAGAGCAATGCCAGCCCCACCCCGGCTTTTTTTTATGCTCAACAACTTTTCCCCCTAGAATACCAGCACTTTTTTTTTTTTAAACAAAAAAGCACTGTCTACAGGAAAACAAACATTAACAATTTATTGCTGCCTCCCACCCATGTACAGAAGACAGGAAGAAGGGGTGAAGCAGCTCTTCACTGCTGCGCCAGGGCTACTACAAAGAACGTGGCTACAATCTGTGCCACAGAGTCCTTCAAAGAAAGCGTAACTGCTCTAGGTCCCAGTGTGAGTCAAGACTGGGCATTGTGCGGCAGGAAACACTGTCTTTTTGGTACAGTGTAAAAGTGAGGTCTTGCTCACGTGAAATCTTTAAACAACATCTTAGGCACTATTTACAAGTTTCACACAGGCTTGAATAAAGATTTTAATTGGCCAACACGCCACAAAGGCAATTTTCCCCCACCTTTGATATTTTCATTTATACATCAATGAATGGGACATGTCCAGCCTGACTCAGTTAACTTCATTAATGCTGATTCTACAATTGACAGGGAACTGTCAAGCCTGATAAACATGAGTGAGCATGGAGGATGGAGAGAGCAGGGGCGGGGCCTCAGAGAAGGGGTAGGAAGTGGGTGGGGCCAGGGTGTTTGGATTTGAGGTAGATCCTGGATTATACTTCATTTCAAAAAGTGATCTCATGCCTAAAAAGGTTGGGGACCCCTGATGTAGAATGTTTGGAGATCCATAAGGATATTATATATATATATATATATATATATACACACACACACACTCTGGTTTCTGTAATTTCCACTCCAATTCATCTGATGAAGTGGGTTTCACCCATGCAAGTTCTTGATATAATATATGTGTTAGTCACTAAGGTGCCACAGGACTGCTCATTGTTTTGAATCAATGCTTCCATTATAGCCAGCTGGAATGGGACAGAAATCTGTGTGTGTTTATGTAAATACAGTTCACTTAGTTTGCTTAGGCCTGCTAGATATTCAACTGTTACAATGCCGTTTTGCCCATTGTAACCAATTTGGCTGTGGTGGGGTCACAAACTGTGTTAACACTAAATGCAGGAATTGTGAGATATGATCACCAATGCTTGCAGTTATTGAGGGAATGTAGAAAAGTCAGACTGTGTTTAACTTGGTACAAAGGAGAGCATCTAACACTGTAGAGAACCATGGATGGACAAGGCTTCCCCTGCCAAAACTCTGTGAAGTTAACTGGGGGAGGAGCAGGACTCCGAGGGTGCATCTACACCGCACTCTGAACTTGAAATAAGATACACAATTTGTGTAGCGCAAATTGTGTATCTTATTTTGATTGTATTTCAGAGTAACTTATTTCGAAATTTGGTGCATCTACACAGCACCAAATTTGAAAATAATGTGCTATTTCAAGACATCCCTTAACTCTCATAGAACGAGGCTTACAGGGATGCCAAAATAGTGCACCCATTATTTCGAAAAATGTTTCAGAATAATGGGTGCCTTTAAGAGACGGCGAGTAGCTATTTTGGAATACCTCTGGTATCCCAAAATTGCCTGTCTGTCTAGTCATAACCTGAATCAGCAGGCTGCATGCCCTCCAGGAGTGAGCTGTAAAAAGGGCTCAACCTGTTTCTCCCACCTCTGCCCCTGTTCTAATGATAGAACTAGAGCAGACTCCATAAGGAGTCTCTTTATTATTTTTAAATTTACTCCAGTGGATGCTGGAATTTCTTGTGGCTGGACTGTGCTTTGGGCCGAGAGCTGAAATCACGAGGTTTGTCTACCCCAAACCAAAACCCACAAAAAGCCAGTGAAAGATACAATGAGCGGTGGCAGCATGATGAGCAGCCAGCAAAGAGGCAACGGAGAAGTGTAATGAGTGGCCAGCAGGGCAGCGGCAGACAGGTAATGAGTGGCTGGGGGGCTGTGAACAGGTGGATGGCGAGTGACCAGCAGAGTGAGTGAGATGCCTTCTTACCTCCCCACCCGCCCCGCACTCAGGATGGAAGGTGAACTCTGCAGAGGTGCCTCTGAACTCTGGGTCTGCCCTGACCAAGGGCAGTGACAGTGAAGGGGGTGCAAAGAAAGGTTGGGCTTGCGAAGGGGGCACTTACATTGCTGGACTTAAGAACTTGAGAAGGAAAGGCCACTACCTGGGGTGGGGCTGTTACTCGTGGGTTTGGGTCTGAACTCTGTTTGTTTCTGGTGTTTTCCCACATTAATGCCTCGTTACTTCTCTCCCTCTTTCGTTAAAAAGTTTATTTTTCTGCACTCAGGCTCTGTGCGTGCGCATGGGGAAGTATTGCCTGGCAGAGGTGCCCAGGGATGCTGTGTGAATTTCCCAGGTTACTGAGTGGGGCCTTGAGCCAGCTCTGCATTGGATGGATGGAGAGGAACCCCTAGACATTGAACCCGGCTCTGGCTGCTCGTGGTGCTAATTAGCAGAAAGGTCACATATCTTCAAATACAATTTAGATGGGGCTACTATAAGGTGGGTGCATAACTGGCAGGATAACCATTCTCAGAGAGTAGTTATTAATGGTTCGCAATCATGCTGGAAGGGCATAAGAAGTGAAGTGCATGCTGGAAGGGCATAACAAGTGGAGTGCCCCAGAGGTCTGTTTTGGGACTGGTTCTGTTCAATATCTTCGTCAATTATTTAGATGATGGCATAGAGTGTACGCTTATTAAGTTTACAGATGATACCAAGCTGGGAAGGGTTGCAATTGCTTTGGAGGATAGGGTCATAATCCAAAATGATCTGGATAAACTGGAGAAATGGTCTGAGGTAAACAGGATAAAGTTTAAAAAGGACAAATGCAAAGTACTGCACTTAGGTTGGAACAATCCGTTTCACACATACAAAATGGGAAGTGACTGTCTAGGAGGGAGTACTGCAGAAAAGGATCTAGGGATCAT